AAAGAGTAACAGAGGCCAAAAGCTAATCCTGCTACTCAGACCGGGAGATGTTCAGATTCCCAAAGTGAGACTAAAATGACCCAATCCAAAAAGAACAGCAGGGAGGAGTCCCATTAGAAGAACAGCACTCTAAGACCCAAATGGCAATGAAGCTCCTGAATAATATACATCGAACCTTTATAAGTATTTCTGGGTACTTAGAAATTGGCATTACCAGGCAACAAGCATCTGGGCAAATTTTTGCACCCATGCTGAGTTTGGTATGATGTAATACAACAAGTGCTCAGTCCAAGGTAACTAATGGAACTGAAACCTCTTGTTAAAGGAGGAAAACCTCTTGTTAAGGTTAAAGTGTACTTGTGGTGACATTTTCAAATGCAAGCTTTACAGTTTCACACTTAACAGTTACATAATGTGCACAAACTGCATCTTCCCTGCAAAGCCTGCAGCAGAAGGAAGAGCACAGGATAACTAGGTAGTTACAGCCTAGGGACCAATTAAGTCTAGTTTCCAAATCTGCCTATGCAGATAACCCTTCTGCAATACCAGTACAGGTTTTGGTAGGCACCATTAATTCATGCAGAAGTTGCAAGTGTGAATGCAAATCCTGAAGCTAGTCCTCAGTCTTTTATCCAGGTAAAATTCCCATTTAAGCCAAGGGAAATTTTTGTACCTAAAATGATTTACAAAGCAGCTTTTACGTTTTTTCTCTTGGAGACCCCACTTCTGGGCCTTTGACCCAATTCTGTGATACCAGCATCACTCCTCATCCGAACTTCTGGAGGACTCACAGTGCTCACATAGCTGTCACACAGGGGTGACAACCCTAAATGGAGCATCCATTGAGGGGAAACCTTATTCGAGTTATCTCATTGCTCTGTTTTGGACATGACTGTGAAAGTGCTGATCACATCAGTGACCGGCTATTCCAGTGAGCAGGTCTATCAACTTCAAGCGCAGTGTCTCACTCCACAAAAAGAGGGGAAACAATCTACTTCCACCACCTAGCCTACTCCAGAATTAATGTAGTTCTGTCCTCAGTTTGAACAAACTGTAGGATTTCATTTCAATTTTGTTTCCTAAAAGTCCTCCTTGAAGCCAAAAGATTTTCCCATATTTAATCAAGCAGACAGGTAAAAGATTTCTTCTACAGGTATTGTCAATTTTGTTGATTCCTATCTGGGTGGACCACACATATCTTAGTTGTCAAATACAATTTTTATATGAACCATGAAATGAATTCTTTGCAAGATGGCAATGCATCTTACTGTAGTTGCTATGTAACAACAATGTATATGATGTCTATGTCTATGTCGCTATATCATTTCTGCTCCAACATAAAAAGTGAGAATATTTTATTGTCCCCACTGCAAAAACTCGGAATGATTTTTTCTTAACTAAATGGGGACCTTTTGTCAGTTCTTATTGGCTGTTTTGAACTAGTCAGCCAGTGACTGAACAAAGGAAAAAACAAAGATAACAATACATTGTAAAATGTTTTTTTGGTAATTTATTCTGATAAGCAAATAATCATTTTGTTTCCATTACAGTGTACTATTAAATGAAAATAGTTAGCAAAAATAGGTCTCATTTCACCACAGCAAATAGGAAATAGGCGTTCAAACAGACTTACTGGGTTTTTAAAAGCAGCAAAAGGAGAACGGAAGAAGTTCCTACCCCAGTTAAACTGTTCTTACTTTTTAAAAGGAGGGCAAATCAACTCTAGACCCAATCATGGGAATTTTGAATCTGAATGGATACATCAGAATGGAGACCTTTGGTTACACAAACCAAAATCCTCCAAAGGCAGGGTCAGACCTAGAATTAAGGACTCTCAACTCCAGTGTTCATCTGCAACTGACTAAAGAAAGAGGTATTTTTGCTTAATCACTCCATGCTATTTAGAATCCACAGACAAATTTACAAGGGCTTCACTGAGAGAGACAAAGCAGAACAAAAATGAAGACTGATGCTTTAGGAAGTATATTTCAGTTCACAATAGCCCCTTATTTATATTCCATGTTCTCACACCCTTACCTGGAGTAGCACTGGAGACTGTCGGCCACTGCTGATCAGGCCCTCCTGGTCCTCCACGTAAGATTCCTGCCTCCTCCATATGCACAGCACTGAATAAGCATATATCATGGTTAGATTATACAGTCCTCAACTGCCCTGGGCTTTACAGCATTCCCCTTCCCAGCTGCTCTTCAAAATGTTATAATTGTTTGTCACTGTGCAAGCACCACCACAATATTGCACCATGCTAACAAATTCTGCTGGATCACGTGAAAAATAGCTATCTTGACTTGCAAGAATCATCTTTGCTTATTCACTAAACACAGTTGTGGCATAACTTATAAAACGTGTATTTCTAGGATGCTTTGCTTTCATTGATTGGAAGTTGCTAGCAAGGAAGTCTTTGCTTTTATGATGAATTAACGGTAAAGCAAATACCAAAAAATGGGTTTAGTTAGTCGAGCACTTCTGTGAGTGTGATACTCTAACATATCCTGTTTTCCTGGGTTACCATATCATTTTGATGAGCAGTTCGGAAAAAGAAATTATGCTTCTCAAATGCAGAAACTACAGGTCAAATTTCAGTGTTGCATGGTGAGAGTGTGGCTTTGAAAGCACCATTGCAATTGCTGCACATTAGCCAGTACATTACAGGAAAGAAAAAGAAATTATATGCTATTTTTTAATGCAAAACTAGGTGCTTATTTGTGTATGATTCCTTAGAGAAACAGGATTCTGTGACTGCACTTTCAATCCCAGTCTCTGCTCATCTGCCTCTCAGTTCCTTTCCATTCTCCCTGTTGAACTTAATGGGCAGCTTCAGCCAATTTGACTTAGGTCAGTGGTCTTAGTGACACCAAATTCCTACAATTTTTATGAACATCAGCAGCTGGGCAGGTCACAAAGTCTCAAAAACTGAGATTTCAGGGAGGGACAGGGCTGCTGATGTGAGAGAACAGAGGGACACAGATAGTTTTTCAGAAAGGCTTCATTAGCTTCCCTGCTTGTGGGACCAGTTGGTTTAAATGAGCTTTGACTTTTCATTTATTGTACAAGTAACTTCAGGCAAAATCTTGAACTCCTTTTAGAAAGGAATGTGAATCCACAGGGCCAGGTTGAGAATATACAAGAGGATGCCTGACTAAGTGAACTGGTAGAGAAGATGCTCAGGTAGACAGGAGAATTCCTGCTTTTGGATCCTCCCTCAGACTGTTTATTTATTTTGCAGTAAGCAGTTAGGGATTAAAAAAAACCACAGGAATGTAAAAGAAACAAACCAATAAGCCCAGATTTTTTCTCTGCCCAACAAGCCACAGAATCAAGCTCTTTCCTTCTTCCATTCCTTCTGTCCCTGAAGTTTTTGTTCCTTTTTACATAGCAGACCAAAGTCAGATGGAGAGATACAGTGTGCCCTACCCACAGGAAGCACATAGATGCCTGCACAGTTTCAGGGGTAGGGGAGAGACTGAACCTGAGTTTTGTCTTTCTGCCTCATGGAGTCTCTTAAACTCCGTAACGGATAATAATAATGGATAAAAGGTGATGGCCACAGCCTCATCACACCAAAAATTTTTGGAAAAGCACAAAGTCCTGCACTTTTAGTGCCATTAGGAATTTTTGCAGCCTTTTAGATGCTTCTAAACTTTTAATGCAGTCTTATTAATCATGTCAAATTACACCTGAAAATAAGACCACTTTGCTAATTTGCTCAGGAAGAGGGAACAAAGACATTATTTTATCTAGGCTCTACAAAAAATGGCTTTATTATACTTCTTTTTTTTCAGATGTACTGAGTGTCAAATTATAGCAGGAGACTGGGATGTTATGCAGGCATTTTTAAAGATACAGAGATTTGGAAATGGCCTTACTTTGACTTCTTTGAAAATCTGAGTCTTATATCCTCAAAATGTCCTTTTAACTGTGTTAATCACCTTGATTGCACCATGGTGTTAATAAAATGCCTGAAAGAGCAGTATACTTTTATGGTAATGAGAGACAGCAAGATGGAAAATGCATCAATGCTGCAGACAGCCTATTGAAACATATCAGCATTGATGATAATGGGGAGCTTTAAAAGTAAACATAAAGTGTATAATCACAGTTAAATAACACAACAAGTGTAGCAATTATGTCTTGGCAGTAAAGGAAAGCAACACAAATGTGCAGACCTACAGAAGCACCGTTATAGCATAAGATGTGGTCAAAATGAATCTGTAACATTTGTAGATTGAAAGAGACAGCAGCAGAACTCAGGTGCTTTCTGTCTCAGCATACAGATATCATCAGTCTAGGGCATCAGAGGAGCCTGACAGAAAGAAGGTAGTCCTTTTCAGAGCGGACAAAGACAGAATTCCCCTTCATATCAGGA